AATATGGTGCCGCCTATGATCAGTTTGTTCAAGATTCATAGGTTTGCAAATCTCTCACCATTTTCGTTCCTTTCTCCCAGTCCATATCGTCCCATGACGTGTTCATATCCAGTATTGTCATTTAGATCTCTCACCAGAATGGTCAAATCGTTTGTTTGGCATGTCTTGACGATTGACTGCAGCCTCCCATAGAAGTGATCTTTATCATCCTCAGTGTTATCGTTAGTGGGAGCATATCACTGGATGACGTCGATTGTAATCCCCTCTTTCTTAGTTTTGAAGAATGCTTTATTGATCCTTGGCCCATGAGATTCCCAACCTATTAGTGCTTTCTGCACTTCTCTTGATCGTATCAGTGCAACTCGTTGTCAATGTGAAGCATTTTCTTCTTCGTAACCAGGGTAGAACAGCATCTCTCGTGACGCTTGTCGTTGTTGTCCAGTCTGTGTTCAATACCTTACACTTATTCCAAGTACCACCACGCTGTATCATTTCATTTTTTTGCAGCAACTTGAATAGTTCTCACGGTCTTCCACAATGTGCCAATACTCCATATACCTATATTAATGGTTACTCTGGTTGTCAGATGAGGCATCGCGACACTGTGACTTACGAAGGAACTCAGCTTTCATTATGAGACGTCATAACTCTACTAAATAAAGACCTACTAACTTCCAGGGCACCGTTTAATTGATCTAAATTATTTGTTCTGGTTGATGTTTTCTGTATCAAGTTGGCTTTCTACGGGATAGGGTCCCTAGCCCCATGCCTAACTTTCTTAACTTTACAGGATGGGGATTATTATTATTATTATTACTCTTATTGTTATTATACTCCAAGAATATACGGACTTTATCAACAAACATTTCGGATTGTATCGTATCATAAAATGAAAAACCAAAAGTTTTTGTGAATCATTGATTAGTTATGAATTAGAAAGGAACATACTGGACATTATTGTCTACGAGAGAGAACAAGTTTCACATCTGAATATAAATAATAATGAGACATTTGTCATGTGACAAGGTCACATAATTCACATTTGATTGGTTGATTGATTGTCATGTATGATAATAAATAGTAAGTACTTCAATTATTGTCTAATTTGTATGTGGATATCTTTGTAGTGCCTCCATATATTGTATTCCAGTTCGCTTACATCTAACTTGGTTAAGCCCTTTTGATTAATTTCTTTAACCAAGCCAGTTTGTATTGCAACAACTCAAATGTACCATTGGTATTTTTTTATTATCTGGTTTGTATGAGCTTGTACGACTGAACATTGTTTACGCCTACGCTCTTACTCATCCTTTTCGCTTTAATGTTAATCTCGTAATATTCCCATGAACTCACATGATTTGTATCACTTGTCATTTGACCTTGTCAATCATTCGTCGCTTTTATTCATGTGTGTGCATGTCTATTTCGTTTGTCGCATGTCTGTCTTACATTTTTGTCTGACTATATATTCTTAGTCATACTCTATCTCGTTGAGTTGGCTCTTAGCCTTCTCCAATTCGCTTCGCTTTGTGGTGTGTCCCGAATAAACGTATTCATCAATATGAGTTCATGTTCCGATTTATAAACCGAGCTTAAGAACACGCAGATAAAACGACACACTACATCTTCACTAGAAAAGTGTGATTATATATATCGATCGTTCAATCTCTGGTGTGTATGCCTGTGTCCAGCTTACATAACTTTCTTCATGGGTAATTATTCACATATTTATTTTGAACTTGTCAATTACTCGGTTATAACCTTGACTGTTTTGATATTAACGTATATGTGTGTGTGTGTGTGGGAAGAAATGTACTACTTCCTCTATTTATCACCTATCTAGCTTATTTTTGTCCGGATATAAATCATTTTGATTATAGGGTTGTCAATGAGATTATGAATCGTTCATTGTTAGACCAACACGCATTAAAAACCTGTAAGAACTAGACGACCGTTTTGTCTTGGTATGGGACTCGGCAGTGACAGTGTGCATCCATTATGCCCACACGCTGGAAACAAAAACTGGAAGCTTCGGCGTAGCGCGCGAACACTTAACCTCTAGACCACCAAACGAGTATCCGACGGTATTAATACCTAACTTTAATCAATCCAAGGTATTGTGTAATCGAATCCATTGTCTTCGGTAAGCAACAGACAGACAGACAGATACAACGCAGAATTTCGTACGTAAGTACATCAGTTCAGGTTGCCATACCACATTAAGACAGAGACGCAACTGTCAGTTCAAATCCAAGAGTGATAGCAATGGTAGAAGTATTAGCAGTAATGGAGAAGATTAGGGAACGAAGATATTATTCGAGAAGTATAATTCAGATAAATTTAGAAGGAGAAAGGTAGAGATAATGAGGAATTCATAAGGTTAGAATTTGAGAGAACACAAAGAGTGGATGCACTTGCGCCATTGCAAACGATTCTGAGCCACGTCGTTCAAGGTTTCTAACCATCAGTGACTTTCGTCTCGCGGACCCCAACCGGATAGCCTATATCTACCAAAATGACTCAGTCCACTTGTCAGTGATTTCATGGATTTGTACCATGTTTTGGTTTGGCCACCCCTAACTTTCTTCCAACCTACTCCTACACTACAAAACTAAGCTCGTCGAGGCAGTCGGTGGTTTGGCATTCGTAATACATGTCCTAAACATCTCAACTGATGAAGTCTCACTACTTTATCTATTGATTTGCCATCCTTACCTAGAACTCGTTTCCTAACGACAGCATTGCTCACTGGGTTGTCCCAGGATACACGAGCAATGCTTCGGAGACATCGATGATCGAAAACTAGTAACCTGCGGAAGTCCTCTACTGTTAACGGCCATGTTTCTCATCCGTACAGTAGGACGGAGCAAACTGCTGCACAGTACACTCGTCAGCAGTGGCCGCCTACATCCGATAGGGTTGAACGGCTTCTCATTAGAACTCCGAAAATTTACGGACTAAGCTAATATCATTAGCGAGAGTATTTTCATGATTTTCGCTACAGATTCGTGAAGATTATTAAGTTTCATTGAAATCATGAATCTATCCCGTGAGCTAGGATCGTGGATGCACACTGTCAATGATGAGTCTCACACTCTATAACAAAACAGCCGTCCAATTGTTATAGGTTTCTAATGGTGGTGGTCTAGCATTCACCTTCTCCGCTATCGGCATAAATAAGTCCATGAAACAAATACACATCCAATTTATTGCTTGTATACGACTTCTTATTATCGCCGTTACACACAGACGGCATTAGCCCAAGTGTACAAATATACGGAATCATATGGGACATTTATTTGCAGTCAGTCAGTCAGATGCAACGTAGAACTTCGTACATAAGTACATCAGTTCATGTCGCCATACCACATCAACACAGAGATATAATTGTCAATTCAAATCCAATAGTAGAAGAGGTAGTAAAGGTATCAGAAGTAATCGGAGAGGTTAGGATTAGAAGATATCATTCAAGAAATATGATTCAGTAGGAAAAGTCTACAAAGTTGAAGAATCCAGAAGATTAGGATTTGAGAGAACACAAAGAATAAATGCAGCGGCGCTATTGCGAACGATTTTGAGCCATGTCATTCAAGGTCTCTAACCATCGATTATGATCATCTCGCGGATCCCAACCAGGTAGTCTACATTTACCAACATGATACAACCCAGTTGTCAGTGACTTCATGGATTTGTGTCATGTTTTGGTCTGGCCGCCCCTAGCTTTCTTCCAGCCTATCCCCACACTGCAAAACAAAGCTCGTCGAGGCAGTCGGTGGTTAGGCATACGCAGCCCATGTCCCAACCACCTCAACTGATGAAGTTTCAGCACTTCATCTATTGGTCTGCCATTCTTACCTAGCACCCGATTCCTAATAACAGCGTTGCTCACTCGGATGTCTCAGGATATACGAGCAATGCTTCGAAGACACCTATGATCGAAAACCAGTAACCTACGAATATATTCTACTCTCACTGTCCATGTTTCACAGCCATAAAGTAAGACGGAGCGAACTACTGCACAGTACACTTGTCCTTTAGTCAGCAAACGGATATTACGCCTTCACCATAAGTGACGCAGGTTGGCAAAAGCTAATCGAGCCTTCTGTATCCGAGCTGAGATTTCGTCAGTCACCAGGCCATCAGCACTGATGAGACTCCACAGATAAGTGAAGCGGTCTACACGTTCGACCACTTCACTTCCTATCACTAGTTCAGGTGCATGATATATTTAATCGTTTGCCTAAAATGTTCATATGGTAGGTTAGATATCGATTGACGCTAGTGAATAACATTCAGTCAGTTTGCAATTACTGTGAACTCCACTCATTTGTACTAGAACAGTTCTTAATTTACATAGATAATCACTCTAACTGAAATCAATTCCTCATGTAAAAAATTATTTATGACAAATTTAAACTGTCTACAAATCTATTCATCAAACAAAGAATAATAAATATATTTTTACACATTTGAAATCATGAAGCGATCAATGTTAGTCAGACCATCATTAGAAACCTGGAAGCACTAGACGGCCGTTCCGTCCTGGTTTGAGATTACTCATCAGCAGTGCGCATCCACGTAATGCAATTGCCTGTGCTCACTAGTAATAAGCTTCGAGAGGAATCTTCTTCGAGTTCTAGTGGAAAGTCGTGACTAGTGAAGTTCGACCTGTTCAGGTGTAGACAGGAACAACCGAAGACAGTGTATGGGGTTGCGCAACTCTGTGGATTGACCGAAGTTAGACATTAACACCGTTAAATACCGGCTCAGTAGTCCGATGGTTAGGCGTTCGTGCTCCTGTGGGGTGCAGGAGTCGTGGATGCACACGGCCACTGATGAGTAGTCCCATACCAGGACGGAACGGCCGTCTTTCAGTGCTTCCAGGTTTCTAATGATCGATTCATGGTTTCAAAAATGTGTAACTTAACAACAATCTTCACAACAACCCCCTAATGAAATATATTTTTACAATGTATATATATAAGAAAAGTGTAATTTACTTTTTACAGGACTTCCTATACCATTGACACGATTTTGTAAGTTGGATTTTCTTGTTGATGTTGTTGTTATCACATTCGATTTTGAATTGTCAATCAACAATGGTTGACTATTATCAGAAGGACCACCTTTAAACAAAGAAAATTTTCAGTATAAAAAGTTGTAGAGATTGTTCAATTGCATTAAAAACATGAACTGATCAGTTTAAGATCTATATTAGAGAGCTAAAGGCACTGAATGATCAATTCGTCTTAGGATCAGGCTTATTAGATGTGCATATACGCAGCCTTCGGTCGCACGCACTGAGCCTTCATCTCACGGTATTAATATCTAACTTGAATCTATCCACGACATTGCGCGACCGTCATCCATTGTCTTCGGTGGGTAACTGATTACGGTAGTGGTTGCTCAATATTAGTGGATTGACTGAAGTTAGACAATAACAGTGCGTTCGTGCAAGAGATCCCTATTGGTCGGGTTATGGATGCACACTGAGACTGAAGGGTCCCATAATCCAATGAAACGGCAGTCCAATGCCTCCAGTTTTCCAATGTTGATCCAAATAAATAACCATCTGGCCTTGAACTGTAACAATGAAGGTTCAAATTCGATTATACCATGAATCAATGTAAGTCTAGTTAGTAGTTTCACTACCTTTCCATAATAGGTACCCAATATCCTTTAAAAAGATTTAGAATTGTAGTTTTCTGATCTCAGCATAAATATGATACTTTTAATTTATAGTGTAGTGAATGCTACTCAAAGAAAGGTGGCACATGGGTATTATACACACTTCTGAGCGTTGCCTAGAAGTAGCTACTGGGAAGAAGATCGGTCAGGCAATCGGGATGCATGTTAGGCACAGAGTATATTGAAGACTAGAAGAGATATTATCAGAGAAGACAGTGAATAACCTTCTTGAAGTTACTTGCCCGTTTATTATTAACAGTCTTCTCTTTTCACAGTATCTTTTGACTTATTCTTGTATGATTGTTCTTCTCTATTTACTCAGACAGTCAATCAGTTACAACGTAGAACTTCGTACGTACGTACGTGCATCAGTTCAGGCTGCCATACCACATTAGCACAGAGACACAAATGTCAAATCAAATCCCATAGTGATAAAGATAGTAGAGGTATTAATGGTAATGAAGTGGACTAGGGTTTGAAGATATTTATATTCAAGAAGTATAATTCGGTGAGATAAGATTAGAAAGACAAAGGTAGGGGTGCTGACGAATCCAGAAGATTAGGATTTGAGAGAGCACAATGAATGGATGCACTTGAGCCATTGCAAACGATTTTGAGCCATGTCGTTCAAGGTCTCTAACCATTGGTTACTTTCGTCTCGCGGAACCTAACCAGGGAGCCTACATCTACCAACATGACTCACTCCACTGCTGGTATGGTCGAAGATGGTCATGTGCAGTATATAACCACTTATAGGGAAATCCTACACGCTGCCCTATGTAATATCCGTTCGCTAATCAATCAAACCACTGTCTACGAACTAACAAACAACAAGGACGGGAGATTTAGCTCCTCTATGCCTCAAAGACGGCCTAAAACTAAATTATCCCAGCTTGAAGAGGAAGAACTAAGGTCCAGTTACTACCAACCAATTCAAGATTTCTCTTATTATATTTTAGACACTCATTGATATGCACACAACACACACACACAACCAGATCACCTCGCACCAATAAATGAGTATTAAAAACTATACATGAATAGGCCAAAAAGTGTATGTGAGTAGCAGAGATTGTGAATAAGGAATTAGCAAGAGAATAAGTGTCATTAATCAGACAACTATAGTTGATTAGTTGTTCAAGAGCTCGTTCGGATATAACACATCACAGCGGAGGTGCGGCTTATGAAATTAAGAGAACGAATAGTGAATATCTGGCCATACTTTAATCAGACAGGAGCGTACAGAGGATCCAACTAGGAGGGGAGATTGGAAACACTGATTCGAAATCATTGGTGAAGAGGGCCCCAGCATCTTCTGGGAACAAATGGCGTATAGACGCACTGTCGGTAACCGGTTACCATGAGACTGCGTTTCCTAACGTTGTTCCACTGTCTTGTGCAGTCGATCTATAGGTCAAAGGCTCAGAGAATGTTCCCCTGCCAACCTGTTTTGGTTTGGGTACTCGGTCAGTATCTTAGTCTATACACACACATTTGTGTGGTGTACATATACATTTTGGTGCCCCCATGTACCGATGTTTGTGAGTCTTCAATAAATCAAAATGTTCTGATTGACCAGTTGAAAATGTGTAAATTCTGGTAGAGTTTTTGATTTTTTGAACTGAACAGATTAATAATCATGATGCATCTTTCATTGTTCAACAACAATGAACAACACACTGTCACTATAAAATTCAGATCAAAGTAAGCTTTGGTCGAATCAGGCCCAGATCTGTTAAAAAGAACAATGATTTTCAAACTCATTTTTAATTAACTTTGCTTTTATGTATTTAGAAAGCATCAACAGTATATTTTAGCGTGAATTATTTCAAGTTCAGGGGCGCATTTCTACAACTGAACAACATATGAAACGCAAAACAGCTATCAATCAACACTCAAAGTCAGAATTTACAATACAAATGTCAAGACAGTTCTACTGTATGAAGCGGAAACTTGGATAACTACAAAAGCTATCATTTACAAGATACAGTGCTTCATTAATAGCTGTCTACGCAAGCTACTGAGGATCGGTTGACCAGACACCATCAGTAACAAATCAGATTCCAGTTGAGGAAGAAATTAAGACAAAGCACTGCAGTTGGTGGATAGGACACACATTGAAGAAAGCACGCAACTGTGTCAAATGACAAGTCCTAGCTCGGAATCGTCAAGGCCAAAGGAGAAGAGTGAAACAACCAGAGAACACAAGACGCCGAAAATTGGAAGGTGACATGAAAAGAATGAACAGGAATGGGATAGAACTGGAAAGGAAGGTCCAGGACAGAGTTGGTTGAAGAATGCTGGTCGGCGGTCTGTTCCCTACTGGGGGGGGGGGGGGGGAAAGGCGTACGTAAGTATGTAAGTAGTTTCAAGTTCAGATTATTTTAAAGTCAGTTTTGTAGTTGACTGTATTTTTAGTTATTCTTGTCAACTGTTTATATTATTGAACAGATTTTAGTGATATTTTTTTACGGTTCGTATGTATTTTGATAACAATTTTAGTATTTCAGTTTATATTAGTGTTATACTGGTCATTTGTACTCACCAGTATATCACCAGTTAAATTGTTTCTTTCATATTAAGGTAGGCAGATGTATGTTATGTAATAGGTGTAAAAGATAAGTTCGTAACATATGTATCCGTTCAACATCCAGTGAAGTGGCAAAGTGGCTTCGTTCGTTCGCAAGAACGAAAGTTATCGGTAGCAGCACTAGTAATAGTAGTGTGAGTAGTAGTGGTAGCAGTGTGAGTAGTAGTAGTGTGAGAATTAGTAGTAGTGGTGTGATTAGTGGTAGTAGTAAGAGAACCCTTCATAAATCGCTATTATAAATGTCAACAACACGAAGATACTACTTAAATAAGTAGGCGCATACTGATTACATACTGAATATACTACTTAAATCAAATGGATTAATATTACGGAAATTTAAAAGAATTTTGAATGATTGCCTGAAATTAACTATAAAAGTTTGTTGGAAATTTTTGTCTCCATTACCAAAATCTTTGAAGATCTTCTTCGGTGGATGTTTGAAAATAGTATGCAAATTACAATTTCATTCATATTTTCCGGAGTTTATATTTGGGTAGCCGGCCCACTACCTGGCAATTCGCCGCCTGGGGGTTAGCTACTGTGAGGTTACCGAAGGGTGCTTGGTCACTCTCATGACCCTTGCGGGAAGGTCTGAGACATGCAGCCATAAACTCTCGTGATGAGAGGCCCTGCTAACAGGGGTGCAGGCTAACAGAAACGGCTCTGACAGTCTTACCACGTACCCGGCGACCGAGACATGTGCTCGTGAGGGGCAGGTACGATGTCAGATTGAGATGGTCTGTGCTGAGCGCGTAAAGCGAGATTGGCTATCGAGACTCAATTCAGACTACTACCCAGGCGGCCCTTTTCGTGTAACACTGTGTCCACTGGCTCTTAGGCTTGAACAATCTTAGTTCCGATGACAATCAGTTATCTGAAATCCTCCTTGTCGCATTAGAATTTCTTCGGCATTCCACTAAGACTAACGAGATGGTAATCCTCGAAACTCTACTTACGTCTTTGGAATTGTTTCACTTGATGATCATAGTTTTGATTGCCGGGTCCTGGAGATTGTTGATTTTTCACTGAAATCATGAATCGATCAATGTTAAGACCAACCCATACGAAAACCGGAAGCACTGATGTTGGGAACGTTAGATACCCCAGAGCTCACTTGATAAAGGTGCTAATTATGGATTTTGTGTGTTTTCGCGCATGGGCTGATCAGTTGACCTTGAGATTACATTTCCCACTCGGGAAATCCTCAACTGTCATTGGTTGATGTGTTATTTTGGTACGCTATTTTTGTAGCTCTCCTAAGGACGTTTGTATGATGTATAAATAAACTCGATTAGTGTGGTTGTCGACCTAGATTTTCTGGGCGCTTGTAGAATACACTTTCTACGCCATAATAAGACTTCTTGATATAGTTAACAGGGCTGGGGACAATCGGATCAGAATAGCCTGTCGTGTCACTGGATCATTTCTCTTCGATCTCGTTTACCGACTAAGGTGAACTCGTCATAGTTTCAAGCGCATCAGTTGACGATCATAACAACCGCACATCCGACTCATCCTAGTATGGAACTATCCTTGCGATACCACGAAATCGCCAGCAAATATATTCTTTACTATGGAATAACCCCTCTTCTCAGCGACGGGCTCGTAACTGCTGTAGTGGTGATCACAGACAATCGCGACTCGATCGCTTCTACTTATCTAAAAAACTGCTTTTGTATAGTGACATTTTTTCTTCTTCAACAGATACAGTCAATTTTCGATTTAACTTTTTGATAATAATTTTATAAATTAATATTTTTTTCCCAATCTGTTGGTACTTGTTCTTCCTTTCAAGTCTTCTTGCCTAAGAGAGCGTGGGACATCGTTGCAGTTACTGCGATGTCCGTTTTCAACGCCATAACTTTATCACCCTTGATGGCCATGCTGATTTCTTCGATTTTTCGTGAGTCAATATCAGATGCTATGCCCCTATGTGCTACTTGGATGTAGGATGGTGGATACACCTTCTACCTCAACTATAGCATAGGCTGCCGACGTTAGCGTTTTTACTTGGCGAGTTCACTTGTAGTGTGCCGATTTTGACATCGGGATCACCATTTGTGTACACTGGCGAGCGAATGCACGAAAGAATGAACGAAGCAGCGAATAAAACGAATGAACCGACGTGAATTGGAGAAGGGTGTTGGGCCAACTCCCTCTAGACTACAATGCGAACGAATGGGCGAAGGAAGCGATGCGGAGAAGGCCGATGAGCCAACTCCAAAGAGATCGAGCATGACTAAGAATATATAGTCAGACAAAAATGTAAGACAGACATGCGACAAGCGAAATAGGCACACATGAATAAAAGTGACGAATAGTCGACAAGGTCGAATGACAAGTGTGGGACACGTCACGTGAACTCATCATACAAACCAGACAATAATAAGAACGAATAGTACATATAAATTGTTGCAATACAAACTGGCTTGGTTAAATAAATTAATCGAAAGGGCTTAACCAAATTAAACGTAAGCGAACTGGAATATAATATGTGGAGGCACTACACACTTTCTACGTCAAGATGAGGTCGCCAACCCCACATGCCTAACCCTCCTGCTTGATCCAAGCTTGGGACAGGCAGTCATTCCATATTATTTCTCAAATATAATAATGTCATCCACTATAAATTTTAAAAACAAACTTAATCAAACCAGAATCGAAAACACAATCCATGAATACCTGTTACCGCCGCTGGTGTTTCTTGTACTGATGTATCATTATTGATTGGCTGAGTAATAATCGATTCACATTGAACTACTACTACTGGTGAACTAGTTTGATTGGTTAAATTCAACGGGACATGTGTGGATTCCATTGATGTGCCAGTCATTTCTAAAGTACGTTGAGATAATTTCGTTAATATAGTATCATTAATAAAATGTTGTTGAGATTTGACTATTGAGTGGTGATTTGTTGTTGGAGTTGTGGTTGTAGTAGTATTAGTAGTAGTAGCAGTAGTATCGCTTTGATTTTGATCAATAGGATAATTTTTAAAATGAGGCGAAGAAGATTTTGTCCATTTTCCACGTGTATCTATGGATTTTGCATTCAGCCTACGGAGAATATGATCTTTTCTATGACGGATTGCATTGCTGAAAATTAAGCGGAATGCATAAAAATCGATGAAAAAAGGTATTTGAATGGTGTGTCTCTGATGTTTTTTTTTAAATGTGATCTAGTGTTGTCTGTGTAGTGTAGTTTCTCATCTCAATCAACCAATCAATCAGTCAACCAACAGCAACGTAGAACTTCGTACGTATGTACGTACATCAGTTCAAGTTGCCATACTGTGGTGCTGTGTTGCGAACTACTTATAAGTAGTATATAGCGTGAGTGTCAACGTAAAGTCTGGTAGCATAATATGGGGGGAAGATCAAGAAAGGAAGAGTTAGAAAACAATGGAATTTGTATGAAACGCATGAAGAGTGACAATGGATTGATGTTTGGCAACAGGAACAGTCCAGTTCCATAGGATGAACTGATCTTTTGCAAATGAACGATTTACGATATGGTTTTCCGATTTTACTGAGTAACTCTGTAATTTTCGTTAAATACAATTCGGTTGCCTCCACCTGTGTTCTCATTCACTACATTTGGTGTCGCTGCCTGCTCGAAGGAAGGGGCTCCCGTGGCCGAAGGAGTTGCAGGACGGAGATTGGCGGAGCTTCCTGGAGGAGTTTGGGGCCACGGTGGAGCTGGTGGGGGCTTGGGGCGGAGTTGACGGTGCTGGGGACGCTGTGGGGAGGTGAGGCGAAGGCGGTGCACGACAGCCTGGACGGTGCCACCAAGGAGACGGCGTGGGAGACGGTCACCGGGCGGCTGATAATGGAGTTCGACAGCCCAGCGGACAGGGAGGAGGCGCCGCAGAGGTTCCGGTTGGCGCGGCTGTCCGCCGATGGTGACCTGTTGGTGCTTGCTGTGGAGCTCACCGGATTGCGCCGTGAGGAGTGGACGGGGCACAGTCTTTGGCGTCGCGATTTATCGAGTGTGTGCCTGCCGCCGTGTTCCAGCATCGGGAACTTGTGGACGCTACACGTTGGATAGATGCCGTATCCATTCCAGACCTGTGTTCTCATTCACTACAATACCACATTAGCACACAGAGATGCAATTGTCAATTCAAGTCCTATAGTAGTAGAGGTAGTAAAAGTATTAGCAGCAATCGGAGAGATTAGGGTTCGAAGATATGATTCTCATCTAATGGTAGTACGGTGTATACTATTTACAACATGGCTTATAAGTAGTAAGCAACGGGCAGAAGAAAGTTTATTGGATCCGGAGGTATACATTTGGCTAGTAAATAAATCTGATTTGAACGTTTTCATGTATTACAGTAGTGATATAAATTTGGTCAACACTTTAGTCTCTTTGTATTAATGCCGTTAAATGAGAAAACTACCATTCTAACAGGTTCATAATTCAATCATTCAATTCAGAGAATGTTAATCCTATTAAATGTAGCCATTTAAAATTCGAATATTCTCGCTCATCTTAACACTACCACTACATCATAGAAAGAGAGACCACCTATTTTAATGTATATTAGATGAAAGTAGGTTAGAAAAATATTGATCACGGTAATCCGACAAAAACACGTCATTAATCTATGAAGTTATTGATTTGTGGTTTCGTTCAATATCCAATGGTACGGAGCTTCCACTGGAATTACTTCAGACAGTTATACAAAAATAGACTTATTCTTTAGTTTTCGTAAGATATTTAATTTGAAAATTATTCCATAACTTTATTACTACAACTTAAAACTATATTCCATATTAACAGATACAGAGATAGAAGCTAACAGTAGAGACAGGAATGTGGGTTTCTTCCTATATGGGACTTGTCTTTAGCTGAGAATACATGCGTTTCAGAGTTGATCTTCACTCTGGGACTGAGACACAGTACTGTTCGCCTCGAATACCATCGCGTTAACCACTTGACTACTGAGTGTAGGTAGTAAGTCTGTTGTGCAATGGTGTTAAGAATAATTCATTTGTACCGGTTGTTCGCCGGTGTCTCCGAAGTATTGCTCGTGTATCCTGGGACAGCCGAGCAAGTAATGCTCTTGTTAGGAAACGGGTGCTAGGTAAAGATAGAAGGTCTATAGACGAAGTAGTGAAACTTCATCAGTTGAGGTGGTTGGGACATGTGTTATGTATGCCTAACCACCGACTGCCTCGATGAGCTGTGTTTTGCAGTGTAGGAGTAGATTGGAAGAAAGTTAGGGGTTGCCAAACCAATACATGGCAGAAATCCATGAAGTCACTGACAAGTGGTCTGAGTCATGTCGGTAGATGTAGGCCACCAGATTGGGGTCCGCGAGACGAAAGTCACCAATGGTTAGAGACCTTGAAAGACATAGCTCAGAATAGTTTGAAATGGCGCAGGTGCATCCACACTTTGTGTTCTATGAAATTCTAACCTTCTGCATTCCTCATAATCTCTATCTTTCTTTTCCTAAATTTATCCTACTGAATTATACTTCTCGAATCATATCTTCACTCCCTAATCTTCTCCATTACTGCTAATACTTCTACCATTGCTATCACTCTTGGATTTGAACTGACAGTAACGTCTTTGTGCTGATGGGGCATGGCAAGTTGAACCGATGTACATGCGTACGAAGTTCTGCGTTGTATCTGTCTGTCTGTCTGTATCTGAATGGTTTAATATTAAGGTTCTTCTTGTTAATTTTTAATAAAGTCATCAGTACAAAAACCACTGTTAATGATTGTGAAATTCAATTCGATAGGTTAAATGTTTGGACAAATCATACGCTATTACAAGGAAGTACAGTTAATGATAATACCAAGGATGGGCAAACTGTTGTGATTGCGTTAATTAGACAACTGATCGAGTAGTCCGTCCAAAAAATATTAGTTTAGATAGGTTTGGTGATATATAAATATGATCGTTGTGACATAGATTCCCAAAAATGCTTAGTTTTATCTCTCTCTCTGTAAAAAGTTTTAGAGAATTCACGCTAGTCTTAAGTCCGGGATTCTTATCCTCCTCTGGACTCGGACCTCGTACTTTCTGAATGCTTGTAGAATACAGGTTCTACTTCATATCAAATCTTCTTCTTTTACTCGATTGGGATTTGGGACACTCGGATTAGAGTAGTAGCCTGTCGTGTCGCAGGATCAGCGAACCTCGTTCTCGTTCACCGACCGACTAAGGAAAACTCGCGATAGTTCATGCACGCACGTGTTTACGTGCATGCGTAACACCTTTAACACCAGCTATGTAGCTCAAAGCTGAGATTGCATAAATCTGCTCTTGATAATATGAGTTGAATTGGCTTTACACGATCAATAAAGGAAAAAAGCGGAAACGAACTAGTTGGATTGTTATTCTAACAGTTCAGCTCTGCATTAACATAGATCAAAGTTAAATGCAGAAGAAAAAAAAGCACAGAATAAACTAACCATTTATGCATAACATTGGAAGAATGAACCGAACTACAATTGGAAGTTGAATCATCTTCAGTAACTCTGGAATTCTCGTCTTCTTCACCATCTCCATCTCCTTCGCCATCACCACCAACACCTTCATCATCATCACCATCATCATTGCCTGGAGTTTGATTGAATCCTGCCAAATTATTCTGATCATGATCATGATCATGATCATCATTGTTATTAGTAGGAGAAATATCGATTTTTCTCAACGTAGGCATTTCATGCAGCTCTTCAAGTAACATACTCATACTAGGCACATTCAATGGTTGTTCCGAATTGATAATAATTCTATTATTGGTGCAGGATGGCTTTGATTCACCACTAAAAATTTAGAAAATATTATCATGAAGTATAAAAAAATTATCCAATAGAAATCTACACTCAATCTGACCTTGACGCTAATTGGTAAGAAGCGGTCAATTCGAGTTTTGAACGAATTAGTTTCCACTAACAAGATACATTAGTTATTTTGAAAGGAAAAGATTGAATTTGTGCGATTCAATTTTAGGAGGATTTTAATGTAAAATTTGCCGAATAGGAATGTGATACTGTTACGCCTGCACGTAAACACGTCATTTTGATATGCTTGAACTATTACGAGTTTACCTAGTCGGAAACGTGAGAGCGAGGATCGAGGATCCGGTGACACGATATGCTACTCAAATCCGATTATACCAACCCCCATATTGAGTAAAAACAAGAAGACTTGATATGAAGTAGAACCTGTATTCTACAAGAATCCAAAAAGTACGAGGTCCGAGTGCAGAAGAGAATCGGGATCGGGGACTAGGGATTGGGGACCGGGTCCTGGTCATAAAACGTTACAGATCATGCGTATTTATACATTTTGGTCGAATAGGAAACAGCACCGAATTCTACGACATTGACAGTTAAGACGACTAATAGGAAACAACACTGGAGTACGTGACAATGATAACTAGGACGACCATAAAATTGACCAGTAGGAATTAACCAATAGGAATCGACCGATAATTGGATGAATATCCCAACAGATACAAGCGAACTCTCAAAAACTGACTACTTAAGTGAGAAGACAAAAGTGGAAGGGAAAATCTCTTTGTCTACTGAACGATGTGTATGAATACTCATTTATAAATATACACATCTATCTTCTTGACAAATGTTGTACATTCCTCTTAAAGGATATTTCTGACGGTCATCGAATAGCCGCTTCTGTTTGCTTATTTCTATCAGTTGGTCATTTAATTACAATAAGATTGGATTTTCAAGTAAACAGCTACATAGAACTTCGTACGTATATACATCAGTGTTCAAGTTGCCATATCACATTAGCACAGAGGTGCAGTTGTCACTTAAAATCCCATGGGAATAAAGATAGTAGAAGTATTAGCAGTAGTCGGTGAGATCAGGGTTCAAAGATTTTATTCATGAAGTATAATCTAGTGAAATAAACTCAAAAAGAAAGGTAAAGGTGGTGAAAAAATCTGAGGTTAGGATTTGAGAGAACACAAAGAATGGATGCACCTGCGTCACGGCAAATGGTTTTGAGCCATGTCATTCAGGGTCTCTAACCACCGATTACTGTCATCGTGCGGGCTCAAACCAGGTAGTCGACACTTATCAACATGACGCATTCCAATTATCAGTAACTTCATGGATTTGTGCCATGTTTTGGTCTGGCCGCCCATAACTTTCTTCCAACCTACTCCTACACCACAAAACATAGCTCGTCGCGGCAGTCGATGGTTAGGCATACGCAACACATGTCCCAACCACGTCAACCGATGAAGTTTCACTACTTCATCTATTGATATGCCATCCCCACCTAGGAGTTCGCTCATGTAACCACGCTTTCATGAATAGAGTATTTCTATTTTGTTTAATTTCGTCTGATATATCACACAAAATAACAAATATGAACTGATCATGTATTTTCGTTACGTTATAGAAAGTAATTAATTGAAAAACAAGAAATATTCATCAAACCTTCATTACACCGTCATTCATACGACATGTTCTATTCTTTATTACACGATGTCTCCACAGTTGAGACGAAATTTTGCGCCTAATATGCATTTTATACACACGACTTATTGTACCAATGATTGTATTGACTACAACTTGATATCTTACTCGGAATCTCCCGACCGTAGCTGCTACCTTGATGTGGTGGTCGGGCTTGACTATCCTGATGACCCAACCGAGCTTTACTGGCTGGAACATATGTTACTGAAGGTTCTACCATGCCACGCAGGTCGATTGCATCTGCAGCGATGCTGCCTTCTCACAAGGAAGGGAGTGGTTGGAAAAGGTCAACCCTAAAAATCTCACACCTCACCTTACCTCACGGATTTCCGTCTCCGTCGGTATGGGTGCCCACTAAGGGCTTTCAAGAGCAGAGCTAATCCTAAAAAAACCCTTCATAAAAAGGCCGTGCGTGACCGGTTTCAAGCAGTTGTCCCTTGGGCTCTGCGGTCACGCACCCAGGTCTCTAAGACCAACTCTAATATACCTTCTTTTTCAGGTCGCTCAAGAAACAACCTTCCACGGTTTGGGCAGCCGGGAAGTGACAACCGCCCTCATACCGGTAACAGTTCGACCTTTATTAAACGGCTTTACTAATGTTATTGTGTCCCTTATACTGTAAAACAAACTGGTCATCTAATGCTTTCAAGTTTCTATCTAATAGGGTTGATCTAACAACATTGATCAATTCACATGAGTTCATGATTTCTTTACAAAAAGGTACTGGGGTCAAATCAACTAATCTCAATTGATTATTTTAAACTAACCTTGGATCGATGGTGTATTTATTTTCATCTGGCTTCTGTATCATGTTATATTGCGGTTGTTTACACAATCTTTCAAATTGTTCAACCTTCAATAAATGAGATGAGAAATGAAAGATTGAAACTGATGAACAGATTTTTTTGTTTGTTTCAGGGAAATGTGATTGGATACGATTAAAAATTTGTTTAAAAATCAATTTCCAGACTGGCTTTTCCCTCGATTCTAAACATTAGTCAATTATTGTTCAACAGTACTGTCATAATTCACATTAAGAAATATTCACTGAGAACAAAGATTTGTTAAAGAAGGAGACACACACAGAAAGAGAGAGAGCTATTTCATCTCGGGGTCTCTCACTACGCTTCGAAGACACCTATGATCGAAAACCAGAAACCTACGAATATCTTCTACTCTGACTGGCCATGTTTCACAACCATAAAGTTAGACGGCGCGAACCACTGCACAGTACACTCGTCCTTTAGTCAGCAAACGGATATCTTACCTTGGCGATGAGTGACGCAAGTTGGCAAAAGCCAATCGAGCCTTCTGTATCCGAGCTGAGATTTCGTCAGTCACCAGGTTATCAGCGGTGATGAGGCTCCCTAGATAAGTGAAGCGATCAACACGCCCAACTACTTCACTCCCTATCACTAGTTCATGTGCCGATGCAACCCAATCTTGAAGCAACATTTTGCATTTCGAGGGTGAGAACCTCCATCCCGAACATGCTTGCATTGTTGCTTAGGGTGGTCAGAAGACTCTGCACTTTGTCAACGCCCTCATACCCGTAATGAATGAATTTAGTAAACAGTTAAGCGAAGATTCTGTCCTCTAGTTTAATTGATCTTTCAAATGTCAATAATTTTGATCAGTTTCTGTTGCTGTAACTACATCCTAAGTGAATTGAAACCAAATATATTTTTGTTAAAATATCCTAAGTATATTTTTGGTGTGTGTGTGTGTCCCTAGCATTAGAACCCAAGACATTCACTTTGTCCTACTCAAGAATTATTATTCGGATATAACTGTATCTCAGTGTTGATGTTCATGAGGCAACTCAACCCCGATACCTATTCCTCACTCACTAAAATATAACAGCCAATTGGGACGTCCTACTCAGGAATCAATGAAAGAGAAAACCTATTTAGCTATCGAACCATATACATTAATATATCCTTAGAAAATAGATCTGTTTGTTGACCAATGATATGCATTCATTCATCTTTTAGGACATATCTGATGATCATTGAATGACCTTCCAGTTTTTTTGGCCAATTCTGATTGGCTCACTATACCAATTACCATCTAAGTAGGATGTCCCAGGCAGGATTCAATCCCCTACATATTCAAATGCGAAATAGGCTACTATAAATAAATAAATATTGTCTAATCATTTCCTATTTATATATTTTTTAAATCACCTTGGACATTTGATGTTTTCTTTCTAATACAGTCTCGTTTTCTTCTTCTTCTTCTACTTCTTCTTCTAGTTTTTTTCGACGATCTAAATGTTCTTTTAATATCTGAGCACGTTCTTCTGCTTGTTGCTTAATAAAATATAAATTTTTAAATTAAAATGAAATAAATTTAGATTTTTTTCAAAAAAAATACTCATCTCTCTTAATGTATGTAAAAATTCCACTTCCTAAGAAAATGAAGCCATTTCTCGACCAATCATATGCATTCATCCTTTAAAGCAAATTCCTATTGGCCATCCAATGGCCTTCACATTCGGCCACTTCTGATTGGCTCATTTCTAACTACCAGTAATAAACTTATCTATTCTTATATAAAGTTCTTTTCTTTTAAAAAACATAGTCACTTACTTTTAATGCTTCGAATCTTTTTCGTTTCTCTTCTAAAGCTTTTAACTAGTAGAAGAAATATGAACGAGAAGAAAACAGGAAAACACATTACGTAATACCTAAATTTACTTGATTCATAGAATAATTCTCATGAATTCATTAGAGAACTGTGATCAGAATGACACTGGTTGGAATCCCATATGAGTTATTAGTATCAGTTTGTTAGGACTACAGGTATGCTAGGTGGACGAGTGACAATTAACATGAGTCTTGGGTGTGTTTGAGTCTTCTCTCGTATCGACTACTTGCAATCGACTAGAATCAGAAATGATTGAAAAGGTACTTTTTTTAATTCAGTTCATCAAATTTTGTCATTTTCTAAGAATAAATTACCCTACTCCCCATTATGTATAATTATAAACTTCAACTCATCATTGATCTGTATCACAAACTCATTGGAGTAAGAAATGTGTACCATACTCTGCTCAAATAAACTGAAGGAACAGGATGACACGTACAGAAATAAAAATCAATCGGAAATAACTGTTAAGCCACTCAGTCAATCAATAACAACTTGGAACTTGGTACGTACGACCATCAGTTCAATTAGCCATACCTATTTAGCACACAGAGAACGAATTGTTAATTTAAATCCCATAGTAGTAGAGGCAGTAGCGCTATTAGCGATAAGCGAAGATATGATTCAAGAATTATATCATAGTGAAATAAATCTAAAGAGAGAAGAATGTCGTGAGGAATCCAGGAGACTAGAATTTGAGAGAACTCAAAGAGTGGATACACTTGCACCATGGCAAGTGACTTTGAGGCATGTATCACGGTTATTATTGCTTCGCGGAGCTCAACCAGGTAGTCTAAACATACCATCAACATGACTCAGTTCTCTTGTCAGTAACTTCATGAATTTATGCCATGTTTTGGTTTGGCCGCCCCTAGCTTTCTTCCAACCCACTACTCCTACACCACAAAACATAGCTCGTCGAGGCAGTCGGTGGTTGGGCATACGTAATACATGTTTCAACCAACTCAACTTATAAAAATTCACAACTTCATCTATTGATTTCCATCCCTACCTAGTACCCATATCCGTCCCATAATATATGAGCAATACTTCGAAGACACCCGTGATCGAAAGCCAGTAACCTCAAATACTTCTACTCTTACTGGTCATGTTTCACACCCGTATAGCAGGACGGAGCAAACTGTTGAGTAGCAAACTCGTCTGATATTTAGCAAACGGATATCTCGCCTACGCCATAAGCCAGTCGGGCCTTTTGTATCCGTGCCGCGATTTCTTCAGACACCAGGCCATCAGAACTGATGAGACTCCCAAGATAAGTGAAGACGTCAGTACGCTCCATTACTTCACTCCCTATCACTAGTCAAAGTGCCACACCGATTAAGTAAGTACTTCATAGTTTCTAATGGCAGCCCAATTGAAGTTTCAGAACATAACATTTTGAATAAAATAAATACATTCAAGTTAATACTTACTTCTCTTTGATGCTCAAGTATTCGTTCTGCATAATGTAAGAAAATTTTTTACAAAAAAGGCAAACATGTAAGTATATACATTGAAAAAAAGATGATATATGCATTTATAGTAAGTAATTAACCTTTTTTCAAAGTTTGAATAACACTCAACTGTATCAAAAGATAAGCCCTAACTGGGAAACCTCAGTCAGTCAGTCAGTCAGTTGCAACGTAAGAACTTCGTACGTATGTACATAAGTTCATGTTGCCATACCACCAAATTAGCACAAAGACGCAAATGTCAAATCAAATCCCATAGTCATAAAGATAGTAGAGGTATTAATGGTAATAAAGAAGACTAGGGTTTGAAGATATTATTATTCAAGAAGTATAATTCAGTGAAATAAGGTTAGAAAAACAAAGGTAGAGGTGCTGACGAATTAAGAAGATTAGGATTTGAGGGAGCTCAAAGAGTGGATGTACCTGCGCTAGTGCAAACGATTTTGAGCCATGTCGTTCAAGGTCTCTAACCATTCGTTGAATTTCGTCTCGCGGACCCCAACCAGGTAGTCTACATCTACCAACATGACTCAGTCCACTTGTCAATGACTTCATGTATTTGTGCCATATTTTGGTTTGGCCACTCCTAACTTTCTTCCAACCTACTCCTTCACCACAAGGTCAAACGATGCGAGGAAAACCATCAATGAAGACATTAGATTGAGAATCGGAAGCAAATATGCAAAAGAATGAACAGAAATTGGATAGAACTAGAAAGGAAGGCCTAGGACAGTGTAGATTGGAAAATGTTGGTCGGCGGACTATGCTCTATCGGGGGAGTAACAGGCGTAAGCAAGTAAGGAAGTAAGTGATAAATTTCGATTGAACAAGGAGAAGGCAGAGTTAATCTAGACAAGTTTAACTGTTTAAAGTTTTGATAGTGAGTGAAGTAGTCGAAAATGTAGACTGCTTCACGTATCTGGGGAGTCTCATCAGTGCTGATGTCCTGGTGACTGACGAAATCTCATCTCGGATGCAGAAGGCTCGGTCGGCTTTCGCCAATCTGCGTCACTTATGGCGCAGGTGAGATATCCGCTTGCTAACCAAAGGACGAGTGTACCGTGCAGCAGTTAACTCCGTCTTACTATATGGCATGTGAAAAATGGCCGTTAAGAGTAGAGGACTTCAGTTGGTTACTAGTCTTCGATCATAGGTGTATCCGAAGCATTGCTCGTGTATCGTGGGACAACCGAGTAAGCAATGCTATCGTTAGGAAACGAGTTCTAGGTAAGGATGGCAAATCAATAGATGAAGCTTTGAAATATCATCAGTGGAGGTGGTTGGGACATGTGTTACGGATGCCTAACCACCGACTGCCGTGACGAACTATATTTTGCAGTGTAGGAGTAGGTTGGAAGAAAGTTAGGGGCGGCCATACTTAAACATGACAGAAATCCATGAAGTCACTGACAAGTGGCTATCTGGTCGGGGTCCGCGAGACGAAAGTCACTAATGGTTAGAGACCTTGAACGACACGGCTCAAAGTCGTTTGCAATGGTGCAGGTGCATCCACTCTTTGTGTTCTCTCAAATCTTAACCTTCTGAATTCCTCATGATCTCTATCTTTCTCTTTCTAAATTTGTCTCACTGAATTATACTTCTCGAATCATATCATATCTTCGCCCCCTAATCTTCTCCATTGCTGATAATACTTCTACTATTGCTATCACTCTTGGGTTTGAACAGACAGTTACGTCTCTATGCTGATGTGGTATGGCAACCTGAACTGATGTACTAATGTACGAAGTTCTGAGTTGTACCTATCTGTGTTCTCTCTGTCTTCCACGGTGTGGGCAGCCGGGAAGTGACAACCGCCCTCATACCCATAACAGCACCAGAGACCGAATTGGTCAAAATCAAATCCTTCCAACACCCCCTAGTACCTCTCTTATCTCCACGACTAACTCTTCTCACATTCATTCATCACAGTGCACAGCTAATGCAGACGATACGAGTTCGCGAAACGTCGTTCCTGTTCTCCTTAAACCTCGCTCTAGACTACATGTTGGAGCATTTAATGTACGGACATTGTGTCAAATAGGGCAACAGGCTTCCTTAGCTAGGACTTTAGAATCTCGTGCCATCGATGTATGCTGCGTCTCGGAAACGCGCATACAGGATCCGAGTCACGTCATACACTTGACCACACCATGTCAAGATAAAGAAGCAGCTCGATTTACTCTTCGTGTATCCGGTAGCCCTGATGCTGCTTCCCGGGGTCTTGCTGGCGTAGGCATAGCATTGAGTCGTACGGCAGAACAATCTCTCCTTGACTGGATCCCAGTAGATAGTCGATTGTGCGCTGTTCGACTAAACGGGACAGTAAGGACTCGGAAAGATAGGGACAATCGCCGTTGCCTCTTCGTCGTATCTGCCTATGCCCCCACTGAATGCAGTTCAGACGAGGTTAAGGATGAGTTTTACAGAAAGCTTTCGGACCTCCTCCAAAAAGCTAGGCGCTCTGATATAGTAATAATGGCTGGTGACTTCAATGCACAAGTAGGTAGACTAAGTGAGCAGGAGAGACACCTAGGTGGATGTTATGGTGTCCCGGCTCAGAGAACAGACAATGGTGACCGTCTGTTGCAAATATGCTCAGACAACCGCCTATTCTTAGCAAACACTAACTTTAGGCATAAGGAAAAGCATCTGTTGACCTGGCGACCTCCAAAGTCGTCTCAACGTTGGACTCAACTAGATCACATTGCCATCAGCCACCGATGGAGGGGTTCGATAGAGGACTGTCGCTCGTTCTGGAGCACATGTCTAGATTCAGATCATGCCCTAGTGCGAGCGCGTATTTGTTTGAAGCTTACTGGGCGTAGGAAAGACACCGTAAGAAAGCCTCTTAGGGTTTTACTTAATGATAATAAGGCGAAAAATATATTTCAGGAACAACTAGAAAGACAGTTAAGCGACCAATTAAGCGATTCCCATCCGGAAGCAGGATGGAATGATATCAAAAAGGCTGTGGAAACAGCAGTGATATCTGCTAGTAAGGTTGACCATAAGGCTAGAATGAAACCGTGGATCTCAGTGGCATCCACCGATCTGATGGATGCCCGAAAACTCATCCCACCTGGCTCTGAACATGATGAAGAACGAAGTCAACTTAGGCGCAGACTTATAAAAAGCCTACGTAACGATCGCGAACAGTGGTGGGTGGCGAAAGCAAAAGCGATGGAAAAGGCAGCGGCGATAGGCAACAGTAGACAACTTTTCCGACTTATCAAGGAAACTGGTATTAGGAATCCTAGTGTAAGCGAGACTATCTCAGAAAATGACGGGACTATTATTTATTCTCAATCCAGGAGACTGGATCGATGGGCAGAACACTTTAGGGATCAGTTCAACTGGCCTCGAGCCACTCTTTGGTTACCCACGATCTCCAGTCATCCTGAATGGCAAATCGACCTAAGTCCCCCTAGTCTTAATGAAGTTGAAAAAGCGTTAGGAAATCTGAAGCGAGGACGAGCTGCAGGTCCTGATAGACTGACCCCTGAGATATTTAAGGATGGTGGTCCAGTTTTAGCAGCTAGGTTGACTGAGATCTTAGGTAGAATCTGGGAACTGGACGTAATCCCATCCGACTGGTCTCAATCACTGATTGTCCCAATCTATAAGAAAGGACAGAAGTCTTCTTGTGACAATCACAGGGGAATAAGTCTAACTAATATAGTATCTAAAATATTGGCCTCAATAATACTTCGACGCTTAACGAAATCTCGTGAAGAGCAGACTAGAGAAAACCAGGCTGGTTTTCGACCTGGACGTGGCTGTATAGACCACATTTTCACACTACGACAGGTCTTGGAACACAGACACACATTTAGGCGTCCTACAATAGTTGTTTTCCTGGACCTTAAGGCGGCATTTGACTCAGTGGATCGTGAGGTTCTGTGGCAGTGTCTGTCATTGAAAGGTGTACCAAATAAGTACATTAACCTCATACAAGCTCTCTACTCAAACACCACTGGTCGAGTGAGAGCATATGGCGACCTGTCATCTGAATTCTCTACATCAAGTGGTGTCCGTCAGGGCTGTCCACTCTCTCCATTCTTGTTTAATTTTATCATAGACATGCTCCTAGACATAACATTATCCTCGTCTGAATTTTCTGGAGTAGACCTTCTACCAGGTGGCTCGCTTATTGACTTAGAATATGCCGATGACATAGTCCTACTTGGCGAAGACGCTGACAAAATGCAGAGTCTTCTGACTACCCTAAGCAACAATGCAAGCATGTTCGGGATGCGGTTTTCACCCTCGAAATGCAAAATGTTGCTTCAAGATTGGGTTGCAACGGCACCTGAACTAGTGATAGGGAGTGAAGTAGTCGAACGTGTAGACCGCTTCACTTATCTCGGGAGTCTCATCAGTGCCGATGGCCTGGTGACTGACGAAATCTCGGCACGGATACAGAAGGCTCGATTGGCTTTTGCCAACCTGCGTCACTTATGGCGTAGGCGAGATATCCGTTTGCTGACTAAAGGACGAGTGTACTGCGCAGTGGTTCGCTCCGTCTTACTTTATGGCTGTGAAACATGGCCAATGAGAGTAGAAGATACTCGTCGGTTATTGGTTTTCGATCATAGATGTCTTCGAAGCATTGCTCGTATATCGTGGGACAACCGAGTGAGCAACGCTGTTATTAGGAAACGGGTACTAGGTAAGAATGGCAGACCAATCGAAGAAGTGGTGAAACTTCATCAGTTGAGGTGGTTGGGACACGTGTTGCGTATGCCTAACCAGCGACTCCCTCGTCGAGCTTTGTTTTGTAGTGTAGGAATAGGTTGGAAGAAAGTTAGGGGCGGCCAGACCAAAACATGGCACAAATCCATGCCACGG